ATGTATATATGTATATATATATATGTGTGTGTGTGTGTGTGTGTGTGTGTGTGTATGCATGTATGTATGCATGTAAATAAATAAATAAATAAATAGTGTCATGCTCTCTTTAGCATAATCATTCAAAGTTTGGAAATGTAGAGTCAGTTGTTGACAAGGCACAAAACCCAGAGATATCAGCTCAGAATTTCCAGTGACCAGGAAATGGGATTTTGCAGAGTCCCAAAGTCCTATTTCCTAGGCCTGCTGAGACTTTTTAGATAAGAATATGGGGGAGATTAGACTAGAAACTTTAAAATGCAAAGCACTGCTCTTAATTATGAAATCCTTTCTGTTTCTATATACCAGCATTTCTCAAAATCTGGGTTGTGATCCTTATGGAGGTTGTCTGAAAATGGATAGAGGATTGTCAGAGAGTACCTTTCCAAACAAGCTTACCAATTTGATAAAAAAGTACCATACATAGAACGCAAAGCAATCTAAGAGTCCCAGCTCCACTGACTGTTCCTTTAAAATGTTTCAATATATCAAGTTAGTTTTTTAAACATTTATTTCCAAACAGAAATAATCATGCCTGGAGGACATGAGGCATCTATGCAAAGTTCTGACCATCTGATCTGGTGCTTACTCTGCAGAGGAAATATAGTGAAGGAGGGAAGGGCTGTGAGGAAGGAGAGAGGAGGAACTGAAGAGTGGGGGTGGGGGAGATATTTACCAGCAGCAAGCTGGAAGGGAAAGAGCAGATGGACTGTGACCATTACCTCAGTAGGTCTACACTGGAGAGTGCCAAAAACAAGTTGCAGCCTACCATTCTTTTGCAAGCTGCAGCACTTAAAGAACAGTTTAAGAGAAATTGATTTAAGGTGAGGAAACACACTTTTCTTTTTTTCTCCCTTGACTTTAGAGAATGAGAATGGCTGCTTCAAAATGAAACCCAGATTTCAGAAATGAGGCAAAAGTAAGCAACTCAGGCTTCCTGTTAAAAAGGAGAGGTTTGGGGAGGATTTCTAAACTATTTTTTTATGAAGTTGTAAGGTTCTATCAGTGTTTCATGGAAAGATATACACATGCATACTATTATTAAAAGTGGTATCTTTATTTATTGCTTAACTCTTACCCCAATGAAATCATCTGTTGGGGGTTACACAAATTCTGGTTATCATTTTAGGGGGTCATGGTATTATGGAGTTTGAGAACCCCTGCTGTATAACATTTAACTATAAACTCTTAACAACCTAATTTATACAAGTAGATTTTCTACAACAGTAAGTACTCCAAAGTGTGAACTATCTGAAAAAAGAAATCAGATATATATATAATCTTGGGTGAAAAAAACGATAAAACAGAGCAGGCATTGTTCATGGAAATGTTTCACTCAAGTCGATACTGACCTTCCTCAGCTCACGTTTTGAAAGAACTGTCCTACGTCCAGTACTGCCAGCAGCAGGAACAGCAACTGTACTATTAGTACTACCTCCACCTTTCCCTTGAGAACTGACATCTGCAGCCACCTGGTAGTTTTCATCAGCCTCTGTTACAGAACTAACAGAAGAGCAGTTTTAGAAAAGGTAAGTTCAAAAAGAACCAATTCAGCCTCTGAAGTATATTTTTACCTGTGTTGGTAATGCTGGAGACCCTGGACTTGTGTTGCAAGATACTGAGGTAGTTCCCAAGTAACTTCATTTGTTTGAGTGTTCCAGTAATAATAGCAGCCTGTGTTTTCATCCCAAACTTCCTGCCAGTCTCCCATCTCGACTCCCACTATGGGAAAAACAAAAACCAAACCCTCAACCATTAATGAGCAGCCTTCCCCTTTCTTATTTACCAGAAAATAAATACAAACTATGCTATTGAGTATCTTCACATTTCTCCATATACATTAAACAGGGATTGCATTTGCTCCCTATCCCCCCTGCCCCCCAAGTAAATCTCAAATTCTTAACCAAGACAACATTCATAAACTGCTTTTAATAATCTTTGGATCCTATAAGCCTGGCCTGACAATCTAGTAAAACTCTTTGTATTCTGTCTCCCATCAAAAACCAAGTAATCTTAGCTAAACAGACACAGGAATTCAATCAATCTTTATATACCAGCACATTTCATCTGAATACTCTTTGACTTGGATGAAGAGGTGGGATTACTAATAATCCAGAAGACAGAAACAAAATCCAAAACATAAATTAGAAAGTAGGCTGGAAATAAAAAGATGCAACTGAATGAAGAAAAGTGCAAAGTATGGTGGGATATCTGGCTTGGCAATAGTGGATGTGAAAATGAACTTGGAACTATAAATGATCACAAGCTGAATACGAATCAGCAGGGTAACAGCTGCTAAAAAGCCAGATGTAATTTTAGGCTGCATCAATAGAATTATAGTTACCAACTCATGGAAAGTAAATCATTCAGATCCCACCTCAAGTAAAAGGTCCAGATCTGAGCACTTACACTTTTAAAGGATCCAGACAAACTGATGAAAGTGTACAGAGAACAGCAATGTTTATCAGGGGCTTGGTAACTAACTCTTAGAAGACAAGATAGAGATCTGATTTCCTGATTCCTCAGAAAAAATGACTGAGTAGACAGGAGCATGATAGCTCTCTTCAAGTAATACATACATAAAGCCCAAGACCTCCTCTTTATAGTCCAAGAGTGCAGGACACAGAATAATATTCTTAAATCACAGGAAACTGCAATGAGCACGAAGTTAGCTCTAATGGCCTAAGTGGCCCATTCCAATGCTATCATCTTGCTATAAGGAGCTCACCTCCTGCCAATGAGCACTGAGTGTCATATTGCCACGCAGCTACCTGGTCCGTTCCATTTGCAGTTACCAAAACCTGACTGGTGACAGACTCCTTGGGTTCTGGCCGTGGAGGAGTTGGTGGTGGAGCTGTAGTTGGCACAGTGGCCTCAGGAGGTTGGGAAGGAGCTGTAATTGCATCTATCTCCTTGAAAAAGTAGAAGACAGAAGAGGACATACTTAAGAACATGTGCTTATTTAATGTTAGTCTAGAAGAGAAAATGCTCAATCATTACATGAAATGTTTGAACATTAGATCAGCTCTTAAAAACATTGTCCACAGAAGATTTCACTCTTTTCTTGTCTGTCTTAAAAGTGGTAAAGTACTACTGTGAATTTTCTTGACGTTTTATACTATTTCAAAGGACTAAGTCAATTAATGAATCAAAATAACATTCCTACTAACCGCTAGAAAATTAGCCAGAGTACTGTCGATGTCTGTTGAATTATTTCCATTTGCATCTGCAGACTGTGCTGCTTTCTCGGTCATCTCACTATCTTCTTCATCGCTGTCTGCATATGCACCAAGCAAACATAAACCACCTAAAATAAAAGTCAACATTATCATCCCTGATATTCCATGATAGCAGCACATAATAATTATTACAACTGAAAATTCAGGTGTTTGAATGTTTTACAAACTCTTATACTAAGCCAGACAAAGTATTATATACAATTCTCCAGCATTTTCATAATTCATTTCCCCTTATAAAAAGGAAAAAAAAACAGGGAAATTATAGCTTCTGTCTGCAAAAGAATGGCCCATACCCTCACTCAGCTGTAATTTGCTTAACCTTGGTTAATTTAATTAGCAGAATGTATGCACACCTAAACTAAAACCATGGTTTCCAATGATAACAGTGGAGCTTATCCAACATGCTAACCTAAAACTATACAAATTACATTATGACTTTAGAGTGCCAGTGCAGTGTAGTTATTAATATTCACCAAGAACTGGGGAGACCACCCTCAGCCATGGAAATTCACTGGGTAAATTTGTGACAGCCATTCAAAAGGCTATTGTTCTGAGGGCAAAATGAAAGGAGATCCCCATGTAAAAGCCACTTTGACTCCTGAAGAAAAGGTGAGATATACAGTAAATCTAATACATAAATAAAATAATAGTATGTAGAGAGTTATGCCACTCATGGCTTCACTGTGGTTGCCCTTATGTCAAAACAGTGAAAATGCAATCTTTTCACCTAAGTCACATGAAATCTGTTATAGCAGCAAACAAGAATTTGGGATATGGTTGGGCAATGCCAAGAACCACATCAGGAAATCGAAATTTTACAGATTCTGGCACTAATGTTGCTGATATAAATTTTAGCTCCTTGCAAAGAAAAAAAAAGTATGTTGATGCCAGCAAAGAGCCTTTCAAATAATGGATGGATTTCAAATAATGTTGCTATCACCAAAATAATGCAGTTATATTTGTGATTTTAAAAAATGCACGAAATAAATTTTGGGAGCTCTCTTTCAGTGTTATACATAATTTTTTATTCCTAATTGACATACCGTAGGTGTGGGTTTTATCTTTGCTTTTCTTTTGTGCTTAATTTTTGTTTTCACCTTGATTCAGATTTAGGTATTATGCTTTTCTTTGTTTCTTTGTATACTATCCAGAGTCCTTTGGGATTGGGGCAAGTTATAAACATTGTAAAATAAAACACATATTTGACAAACTGTACTGTGTGCATTAAAATTATCCTGGCTTCCAAAAATCTGATGGAAGACATACATCTTTTAAAAATTGCTTTTTCAAACATGTATAATGGAAAAAAATTATTTTTTATTTCAAAGGTAAATATTCTTCATTTTAATCAATTCACAAAAATAACTCCAGTATTTAATCTGAAAAAATCCTGACTCCAACTTGCTTTATACAAACCACAGTTAAAAAAACACTTTACTGGTAGTCCTTGGATTATGATGGCACCCTGGACTGCTGGGATTGCTGTCGCTAAGTGATGCGGTGGTAAAGCGTGATGTCACATGACCGCACTGTTTAGCAATGGCAATCCCAGCAGCCTCGATTCCTATTATAACCCCAGGACCACAAGGGCTGTTAAGGGGAAAGAGGTGGGAGTCCCAGGCAAGGAGGTTATGGAGGTGCATAGGTGCCGTGGGGGTGTGGGGGATGCTGCAGGCACTAAGAAGCGTGGGCACAGGCAGCCCAGTGAGGGCCACAGGCAGGTGCTGGGGAGTGCAGGTGGACCAGCAAGGGCTGCAGATGGGTGCTGGGGAGCATTGGCGGGCCAAGGAGCTACATAGCGGGCTCCACAGGAGAAAAAGCAGCGGAAGTGACTTGCAACCTTCCCGGCCAGCTTCCCCATTGATTTTGTTTGTGGGAAGCCAGCAGGGAAGGCCGCAAATGGCAATCAGGTGACTGCAGCTCGTTGCGACATTGTAATCATCAGCTGGTCATCATGATCATGTGACCACAGGGACACTGTGATGGTCCCAACTTCGCTGATCTGTCGTAACTCCCCCCTCGTTCAGTGCCATCGTAATTTTGAATGGTTGCTGAACAAGTGGCTGTAAGTTGAGGACTACCTGTATGATTCTAATGCAAAAATGTAAGACGAAAAGTATAAATAAGTAACATTTAGAAATTTGTTGTATGCAAACGGCATGATCCTTGTAACTACAGTTTCAGGCACTATTATAAATGAAACTGGGAAATATTGTACCTGTTGGTTTGACCGCTACAGGACCAACAGGCATGTTAGCCTGAGGTGGGTTTGAGGCTGTTTTTGGGACCTCTTCGGTTACTTCAAATTCATCTGAAAAAAGTAAATATAAGCAACAAACACTTCAGAAGAATACACTCACTATAAAAGTTAATAAAAACATGTACTGGTGGTGGCAGGAGGGAAACAGACAGTACATTCTGCCTAGATCACTCAAGAAAAGTAAAAATTAAAGCCTTAAGAAGCAAAGGAATGTCTTTTTCCTTTTGCACCACCCCAACACGTTATTATTAGCAAGCTATTACAATGTGAACTTACAATGTATTAGAATTCATTATTAAGAGAAAATATTTTTCTTTAACATTATATTACTTATAAGGAAGGTGACCATATTTTCTTGGAAAAAATAAAGGACAAACCTAAAAAAGGGGCAAAGCTGAAAGAGGTTCACAAGGATAAAAAAAACCAATTGTTTATAACTTTGCTTTACAAAGGAAAATTCAAGAGCAAAAGCAAGAAAAACTTAACAAAAATTCATATTCTAATAAAAATATGTAAAATCAAATAGTATATGTAAATTTATTTAAATAACACAATTCACTTTCCATTATTTTCCACATAAATGTGAAAGACTGTGCATTAAGTAGTACCATTTGTATGGTAAAAGTTAAATGACCAAAATAAAGGACAAAAGTGGGTTTTTGAAAAATAAATAAATCTAAAGAACAGCTTTCTGAAATAAAGGACTCTCCTTTATAACAAAGGATATATGGTCACTATACCAATACTCTTGAATCAAAATAAGCACGAAGAGAAAATCACTGGATCTAATAGAATACTTCACATAGGAGATATACCTATAATTTAGCTTCTACTGGAAGTTACTTCTGCCATTTCTTATTGTTTCTAATTTACAATGACAGCACATTACTTTTGGAGCAATTACATTTACATTACATTTAAACATTTTCTGATAATTTTTAAGTAACTTAGCAGAAGATCAGCTTACAGTGCAATATATAACAAGTACTATTTCATTTCATCAGACACCTTTCCTCTACAGCACTTATACTTCAGTATTTTTTGCTGGGAAAACAGTATTCTTCCATAGTGAGGTACACCCACTGGTATTTTGAGTGCAATATAGCATGTCATTGTGTGAGAGTACTGCAGAGAGCTCCTAGATAATGACTACAATTTTGTCAAGCCCCATAATCTCTCACAAATTGCTAATAAGACATTCACTCCAGAGGAGACTAGATAAGAGTGATTTATTTCAGTGACCTAAGGAATGGGAGAGCAATCTTTTGTTGTTTTTCCTTCCTTAAAAAAAGCTGCCAGATTGGTGTAGTGGTTAAGATGCCAGATTAGAAATCGGGAAACTATGAGTTCTAGACCTGCCTTACGCATGAAGCCACCTGGTGATTTTGGGCCAGTCCCTCTCTCTCAGACCTAGGAAGGCAATGCAAACCACTTCTGAAAATGTTGCCAAGAAAAGTCCAGGGACTAATCCAGGCAGTCACCAGGAGTCAAGACTGACTTGAAAATGTGTGTGTGTGAGTGCGCGCGCGCACACACACACAACTGCTCCAGAGCACTGAAAATCTCTAGAACTGCATGACAGGTACTGGGGACTGCAGAGATAAGGAGGAACCATTAACAAATTATTCCATTGCTTTCCTTCAAGCAACCTTCAAACGTATCTTAGTTCTCTCCATTAAAAGAAATAAATGTTTCACTTTGTGAAGAGTCCATTTCAAATCCAACCCATAGTCTTCAATTATTGTGCTACTACAAAAATCACAGGAGTAATTTATCTAGTTTTGTTTTTTTTTAATTTCAAAACAGCAACTAGTTTCACCGCTCCACTATTTCAGAGCCAGCTTCTCTCAGCTGCAAAAGCCGAAATATGAAAAATGCACCTGCCTGGTAATAATGTATTTTTAACTCTGGATTCAGATCAGATCTGTGGTGCATGAATATATATGGACTTTTCACACTCAGTATCAAGTCACACGATTCCCTCAAGGATGCTAGTCAATTGCTTGCATTTTGACTAAAGGTAAAAATCTGACTCTTTAACCATTACTTTTGGATACTGAAACTCATGGTTTTAATTATTGACTTTGTTATCCTTTTTTTTTTTTAATGCTCAGAGCCCTGTTTCACTGGAACTGCCTGTCAATCAATCAACCTACTTACATAGTGTTTCATATGATTTTAGCACAATATCTTGAGGTGGGTTTTTTTTTTCCACCTTTCATTGTAAGATGCTTTAGGAATTCCCTCAGAACCCAAAGTGCTAAGTATGAAAAGCAAGCTGCAATCCCCATCCCCAGGGTCTAAACGATTTCACAAAACATATTTGCGAAAAGATACTGCCATCAACTGTCCCCATCATTATTCGCACAGAGGTAATTCTGGACCAATATCACTGCAAGACCATCCACCATCTCCAGGCGCGCATTATTTCCACATCATTCCCCCCGGGGAATGGATGGGCGAGAACGTCCCTGACTTGCTCGAAAGTTTGACAGCCTTACTGGAAGACGTGGAAGAAGTCACCTTCTCCTCAAAGGACGTTTCCCATCGGCAAAGCGAGCCCCCTCGCCGGCCGCCGGGGAAGGTTGAGCGAGCTGACGGGAAACGCGCTTGGGCGGCCAGAAGCGCCTCGCAAAATAATAGCGACGGGGGCGCCCATTGTTGTCGTCTGGAGATCAAGCATTAGTGCGCGGCACAAGGCAGGACGCAGCCCTACGCTCAGAGCAGCCCTAGCTAAGGGACCAGGGAGGAAGAACTAGAGCAGGCGGGGAAAAGCTCAACTCGCAAGCGCTTCCATTAGGGGCGG